TGATCTTCCCTGGTACAGAGGTCAGGCTGAACTACTGCCTGGCCTGTAGTTCCCAGGATCCTCCTTCCGGCCTTTCTTGTAGATAGGCATCACATTGGCAAGCCTCCAGTCGTCTGGGACCTCCCCTGTTAATCAGGACTGCTGACAAATGATGGAGAGTGGCTTTTTTTTTTTCTTTTATGGAGAGTGGCTTGGCAAGCTCCTCTGCCAGCTCTCTCAGTACCCATCAGACCCCATAGACTTGTGGGTGTCCAGGTGGCTTAGCAGGTCCTCAACTGCTTCCTCCTGGATTATGGGCGGGTTATTTTATTCTCCATCCCTGTCTTCCAGCTCAGGGGGCTGAATACCCTGTGGATACCTGGACTGGCTATTAAAGACTGAGGCAAAGAAGGCATTAAGTACCTCAACCTTGTCCTCATCCTTGGTGACAATGTTCCCCGCCATATCCAATAAGGGATGGAGATTGTCCTTGCCTCTCTTTTTGTTGTTAATATATTTGTAGAAACTTTTTTTATTATCCTTTACAACTGTGGCCAGACTGAGTGCTATCTGGGCTTTTGCCTTTCTAATTTTGTCTCTGCTTGACCTAACAAGATCCTTGTACTCTTCGGGAGTTGCCTTCCTTTTCTTCCAGATGTGATAAACTCTCCGTTTTTTTCCTGAGTCCCAGCGAAATCTCTCTGTTCAGCCAGGCCAGTCTCCTTCCCCTCCAGCTCTTCTGACATGCTGGGGCTTTTTTTAAGGCAGGTTGGGTTTTTTTAAACACTGTTTTTTCAGGTTCTTGACCAGAATTTTTGAAGTCTTCGGAGTGAGACTTATCCTTTAGGCTGCTGAGCAATTCCCCTGTCTGGAGGGTACAGTTTCTCTAACCTGTACCAAAACCCAAGGAGTGCATTTCAGAACAGTTCTCATCCTCTGCTCTTGTCGGTACCGGTGATGATAGGGCTGATGTTCCAAGTGCTTCCAATCAATCTTGGCTGCATATTCACTGCTCACTTTAGGCTAGTCCTCACCATGCAGGTTAGAGGTCAGTATCTATGGGATGGCATCTGTTCTTACTTGTAGTAATAACAATACATAACCTGATTGTACTAGGTAGCTCTGAGAAGTGCCATATTAATTCAGTAACGGTAAGGCACAAAGGAGGTGCACTGAAACACGACTCAACACTTACCCCTTTGTCAAAAGCAAATGGAGAGTCTAACGTGGGGTGAATAGCGTAATTCTGCCTTTAATGCAGCATTCAGAAATGTGTATGCTTTTGCTAGCCCTACTGTTAGCAGCTGCATTGATATATGGCTTTCCTTTTCTCAGGTGCATCAGACATGTGAAAAACAACCCATCCAAGTGCTTGTTGAGGAAAGTTTGGTTTAAGTATGAACTGGTGTAAAATTTACTACTGTTGGGGGGGGTCAGGCATTATTCTTATAAATTCCTTTGGAAAATGAATAAAAATTGTTTCCAAAATTACATATGCATTCAGACGTATTCCTGGAATTTGCTGCAAACATTCTTACTGAGCACTGACTGTATTTATTATACTCACTGTATTTTTTTTTTTGATAGTTAGAAAATTTTAATGGTGGAATATTCTCGTAATTAACATGCTAGCTTTTTTTATACCATTAAGTAGAAATACATGTGTTTAATAGGACAGGAAGATTTATTACCTGCCTCATGTTTAAACTGTTGCTTCCTAGTACTTTCTTTATCTTTCCTGCTTAAGTTTCCGTTTTCAGTGACTTTGCTCGTAAGTAGTAGTCCCTTTGACAGATATCCTTCTACTTTGAAGTAGCGCGTTCACTTGTTTCTAACTTACTTCTTAATAACTTATCCTTTGCGTTATTAGTTGCGCCAGAAATGGAGTTTGTATTCTGCATGCTGGCCTATGTAGAAAAGCAAGATTTTTGTTGTAATTCTATTAATTTCTGCTAGTGTGTCTTAGATGTATGCAACCAGTTCAGAAATACGTAGCATCAGGAGAGCCTCTTTGATCTTTGCCTTGACAAACATTAAAGTTACTGGGCTAAACACTTTCTTACTCAGCTTAGTCCAAGAGCTCAGTAATGACGTACAGTTCTCTAAACAACTGTCAAAATTGAGTTTTTAAATATCCTTGAAACTGAGAAAAATGATGATGTATAAAGTAAAATAATTGCAGTGTAAGCATGCTGCTCTGAACTGCCCAGGGACCTCTCATGGGCATAAGCACAGCTGTAATCTTGTGGCTGTAGTGGGTTGAGACTGGAATGTATAATTCTGGAATAGGATTTTTTTTTTCTTTAAATTGCTGTCTTTGTAGTACAAATAGAAATAGTATTCTGTGTATATGTAAACCAGATGTAAAAATGAAATCAGGAAAGTGCTGTTGGTGACTTCAAGCTACAACATTGAGGTACCATCTGTCTTAACCATCTGTAACCCCAAGTACCCCTGTTTTCAGCCCTCCTTTCTTCCAAATCTGCTTCATCTGCCTTCAGGAGACTTAAATATCCCCTGTCCCTTCTTCAGAAGACATGTACTCTGTGAAAGAGTAAATTCTAATGCAGCAATGAGTATGAAGAAACTGTAGCAGACTCACCACCAGTTAGAATACCAGCCTCTTGGATGCTTCACTTTCTGTATCCCTATCTGAGGAGGTGCTTGGTGTCCTGCCACCCTCTGTGTCTTGCTTGATAGGGAGGCAGGAGTGGTGGGCTAGGGCATCCACCTGCTGCTTCCTGCCTTCTCTGTGAGTCAGAAGATGTTGCTTTGCTTGCCCTCATTCTGTGCTGAGTAGCCAGGTACCAACAGTGTCACAGCTTTTGTTTCTGCTCCTCTTCATGGTCTGTCTCAGGAGGGTCCACATGAAAAGTGATACAGATGAAAATCCCACCTCTGTTATGGTTTATAGGCTTCTGTGAATCTGCTCTAAACAATAGTGACTCAACTTCAAATATGCAACTTGAAAATGTGTTAAAACAGTCAGAGAATGTGTATTAACCAAAGGAGGTTCTAGTAAGGCTGAACTAGCTTTCCAGTTGTTCATCCAGGCATGCCAGCAGACATGTTGTTGGTTCATGTGCCTTTAAAAGGTGAATGACTGTATAGCTGGAATCCTAAACCACAATTAAAATTATTACACTTCTAGTCAGAATTTAACCCCATTTGCAACCTTGGTCCGTAGGGCATTTCTGTTTTTACCCTCACTGAGGGGGTCATATAACCCTTTGTATTACAGACTTAGTCATATGTATTATTCCTTTAGGATCAAAGTGCCTCTATAACAACATCATTGATCTTTGCTTTTGTTTCGTAGGCTGTGAAGATATTATTGCTGAGAGCATCTCACTAGACACCTTAATTGCCATTCTGAAGTGGAGCTCTCAGCCGTACGGTTCCAAATGGGTACATCGTCAAGCGCTACATTTCCTCTGTGAGGAGTTTACCCAGATCATGACTTCAGATGTCTTCTATGAACTCAGCAAGGACCACCTACTCACAGCTATTCAGTCTGACTATTTACAGGTAGCCTGCAATGCAGAATACAGCTGGTCCTGCTTGAAGCAGGATGTGTTATACCATTACTAGAAGTGCTTGGGAGTAGCTCATTTTAAATTGTAGGCAAGAGTGGGTTTGTATACACACTAAGCATTCCTTTGTAATATGTGAAAAATGAAATTGAAGTAGTGATTAAGAAAACTATTTTGTTCTTGGCTTTTAACACAACCCAAATTGGTGGTATATGGTATTGCTTAGAAGGCTAATAATAGCTCAGGAATGGCTGAAAATTATTTTAAACAAAGCATTTCATAAAAATTATGTGGTGGTAGCAGTTTTGCTGTAACAACATACATCCTTGTTGGGGGTAGCGGGAGCTAATAAATTAGTAATCATTCAGAAGGCTTAATTTATTTTTTAGGGGAGACATAAAAATACCTTTCCTGACAAGCACTGCAGAATTTCTTTTTTTTTCTGTGACTTTCTTTCAGTGATTGTGTGGTTTTAGGGAGAAGAAACCATACTGACTAATAGAAAGCTTGTGGATTTTTGCTGCTATTTATCTTCGGGGGAGCTATCTTGATAATGATGATCAGCCTTTTATAGCTTAAAGATGACTGGATTATTACTATTTTTAATCGTATCCATCCCAATCTTATCTTTTTTTTTTTCTTAAAGTACAAAGTTTTGTTGTTTTTTTTTTTTAAATTGTTTACTTTAAACATTTCAGGAATTACAGTAACAGTACTGTTGATCTTCTGATGAGTGTATATTATGACTAAATTTCTTACCCTAGTTGTTAAGAAATTAGGTAGATAAGTTTAATTTTTTCAGTACATGATTTTTTTTCCCTTCTAAAAAAGTTAAGTGGTTAGCACATACATATAGATATGAATAGAGCAAAGTTGTTTTGTTTCTAGTATTACTGAAAATTGTTCTCTTCACTACATTATAATTTAGTTGGTTTGATTACTTTCATAGTTTTCCAGGCAGTGCAGATACAGAATTTGTAATGTTAAACAAGAGATTCAAACACCCAGTGTTAGAACTGCCCCTTTTAATTAACTTTAATCATTCAAATTTAATAACTCTAAGTTTTCACGCCAGAGAAAAACTTTCCTTCTGTAGAATTTTTTTTTCCTCTTTTTAAGGATTCAATGAGTGACATGAATCTAGAAACCATAGTGGTGATATACCAGCAGTACTACCTTAAAATATCTGGAGGAAGTGGTATAGCAAATCATAAACTACAAATCCTTACTTTGCTCTTGGTACAGTTGTGTTTCTTTATAGCTGTAAAAGACCTGTGTATGTGATTATTTTGTGTGTGTGTGTGTGTGACATTAAACTAAGTATATACATATTGCTGGCTTTCTCTTTCTACCAGGCAAGTGAACAAGATATTCTTAAATACCTGATTAAATGGGGAGAGCACCAGTTGATGAAGAGAATAGCAGATCGTGGTAAGATCCTTTAAACCACACAGTAGTAAATCAAATAAACCAAAAATATATATGGAAGTTCTTTTTTTGTGGGTAATCTGTAACTTAAGGAAAATTAATCTACTTTGTTCATAGTATGGTCAAAACTAAACAAATGCGCTACTTTTTAAAAAGCTTTTGTTCTCGAAGAAACGAGAATGCAGGCATTCTGAGGGAGCTGGGATTGTTTAGCCTCAAGAAGAAAATGCTTAGGGGGGATCTTAGCAAAGTCTATAAATATCTAATGGCAGGAAGCAAAGAAAATAGAGCAACACTCTTCTCTTGGTACCCAGGACAGGATGAGAGACAGTGAGGCATTAACTGAAATACAGGAAATTCTGTTTAAATACAAGAAACTGAAGATGGTTGGACGCTGAAACAGATTACCCAGAGTAGTTACGGGGTCTCCATCCCTGGAGGTGTTCAAAACCCAACTGAACATAGTTGTCAGCAACCTGCTCTACCCTGCCTGGGGAGGTGTGGGGAGAGGGTGGTAGTTGTGGCTGGACCAAACTTGTAGAGGTTCTTTCAACCTCTATGACTGTCTGATTTTTAAGTCTGGTTGATTCTCTATTGTCTCAGAATTATTTTTCTTGTAATTAATTCATCAAATGTAAAGGATGCTGCAGACTGCAGGATTTTTTTTTTTTCTGTGCTCATGCAGGCTTCTTACAGTAGTCTTAGTCTTAGTTACTGTGTCAACCTTTCACTTCAGTGTGAGTATGTTTCTCCCACAGAAATCTGTGTTAGTGAGAAATAAACCATCAAGTGGCATCAGTGTTTTTCCTCAAGTAGATATAAATGTATTTTTATTAGCTCAGATGCATATTATTGCTACAGTGGTAACTTCAAGGGCAAACTCACATGTGTTGGTTGTGGGAAGTAGTTTAAATATGTATTTTCCAAATAACACGTGCAAGTAGTTTGTAGTTCATCCCCACCACAAAGTATCAATCAGATAGTACGATGAGAGGAACAGAAGAGGAAGAACCTGACTGTGTGAAAACAGAGCAATGCTGGTGTGGCTACTATCTTTGGAGGGCTGGTCATGTTTTTGAAATCCACTGTTACTGCTTGTGATACAACTGCTTTGTCATGGACATGTTATATGAAACATCATGAAGTCAGTCATAAAGCATCAGAGTCAGTTAAAATATGTGCTTTTAGTGACTGAGTGAGTATTGACTTTCTATCTTCAAAACAAGATTTTTCTAAGCATTTGTCTTAAAGCACATTGGAAGGTAATGAAGCCAGTTCAACACCAACAAACCTGGTCTGGAGGAGAAGCTGCTCATTTGGAGTAATTGTGCAGCTTCCCAGTCTGTGGCGTTCATTAAGTAAACAGCTCATTTCTCTTTCCTGACATCATCAGTTAACATGATAAGCAAAAGCAGAAATGAGCTATACCAAGTTCTGTCAGATTAGGGCCAAATTTAGTCTAGTAATTTGGTCTAAATTCCTCAGTGATGCTCCTGACTTTGCAGCTCTGGATATGTGGTGGTGTCAGTCAAATACTAGAGAGCGTTAGGAATTGTAATGGGCTGTGGCCAAAACTTGGGCTGCCTGTACTGAGTGGAGAGTGGGTATGTTTGATAGGTTTCCTCAGAGTGACATTAGTCAAAGTCGGATTGGGCACAATACCTAAAATACAGGTGAAGGCAGTTAACTGAGGGAGGGAGACTGACCTGAGTGTCATACACTGTCATCTTGCAGTCTCTAGGAAGACACCCACTCTTGTTCTCAGTCACAGAATGCCTATTTAGCACCATTTTGAATGGGCTTGACACAGCTGTTACTAGGGTGGCTTACATGAGGCTAGTGTAGACATGGGACTTCAGGACATGGTTTAGTGGGCATGATGGTGTTTGGTTGGGCTTTAGTGGACTCCTCAGGCCTTAATTTGTAGAAAATAAGTTTCTGAAAACTGCTGGGGAAAGGGAGAGGAGCTGCAGGAGAGAACCTTTGGGGAAACTGCTAGCAGTGAGGCATGAATGTCTTCATTGCATACCTCGAGGTAGAGCTTTATAAACGTTTAATTCAAACACTACTTCTGTGTTTTCTTCCTGGCTTGTGCTTTGAAAGTGACAGCTGTGCAAATGGTCCATGCCTGTGTAAAGTGAACCTGACTCGGTTGATGCTTAATATCAGATTTTAAGGCATGAAATAGTTTTGTGGAACAGTGCTGATAAGCGCTGTTGATTTTAAGTTAGATGTTTCTTACCTTTTCTGTAACTTTCTATAAGCCCTGTAACTCCTGCTTTCCTATTTAAACTTTTTGATGTAAACTTACTCTTTGTTCTTCCCACAGAGCCTAATTTACTGAGTGGTACTGCTCACAGTGTGAACAAAAGAGGTGTGAAAAGGAGAGATCTTGACATTGAAGAGCTGAGAGAGATCCTGTCTCCGCTTTTACCTTTTGTCCGCATTGAGCACATCTTACCCATGAATAGTGAAGTACTGAGTGATGCAGTAAGTCAGTAATCTCATACAAATATTAATCTCTGGATTCTTTGTTCTTCAGATTATACAATGTTCAGAGTTAGGGGCTTTTTTGAGGATTAGCCTCTAAAATGTTATCACTCAGTAATATGTGTATAACTCTCTGGTTAAACTTTCTGTACTTTAAACCTATCGGAAGGCTAAAGAAAAATCAGTGGTGTAAGGATTCAGTATAAGAAATGCATTTCTTGAAAGCTTTTCCCATATTTGTATTTAAAAAACCATGAAACTCTTTCTTGATTCTTCAAGATGAAGAGAGGCCTGATAAGTACTCCTCCTTCAGACATGCTACCAACATCAGAAGGTGGAAAGTCAAATGCCTGGCTGCGGCAAAAAAATGCTGGAATATATGTGCGGCCAAGACTGTTCTCACCATATGTGGAGGAGGCTAAGGTAATAATCAATATTTGAGTATTGTTAATCTGGAGTCATCAGGGGGTTCTGTAAACAGCGAAAGATTTTGGTATGTTTTGTCTCTCTTTGCATGTACTGGCCTAAAATACTAACATTTTCAATTTAACAAGACTTACAAGATTGATCATCAGGCTCAAGTCTCTAGAACTGGTCAGAAAAATTTCAACAAAATTTTTTTTTGTCGAAATTGAAATGTTTGTGAGACAGATCTTGATGAAATTCCACCGGAAACAAAGCAGCGTTCTGAGGGAAACCTCCCTGGTTTCCAGCCAGTTTGCCGGCCCAGCTCCTCGGCAGCCCACCTGGCAGGCGGATGGCAAGGTGAGAGCCTGAGAGTCCCAGTTTGCAGCTAGTCAGCGACCTTGGTGCCAGGTCTTTCAGGCTCCCCAGCTCCCATCAGAACTGGGTGGAGAACAACTATTCCACTAGGCAGAGGACTCTGATATTTCATTTGCTTGTTTGAATTAAAATGTATCCAAAATTCTTTCAGTCTTCCACAAAATGGAATAAGTATCTTGTGTCCAACTTGACTGAAGTTCTTTGTGTCCAGCTCAAGCAGTAGCTTCCCTATTTAGTATCTTAGAATCATAGAATCATTAAGGTTGGAAGAGACCTTTAAGATCATCAAGTCCAACTGTCAGCCAAACACCACCATGCCCACTAAACCATGTCCCGAAGTGCCATGTCTACACATTTTTTGAACACTTCCAGTGATGGTGACTTCACCGCCCTGGGCAGCCTGTTCCAATGTTTGATCACTCTCTCAATAAAGAAATTTTTCCTAATACCCAATCTAAACCTCCCCTGATCTTGCATGAGGACTGTCAAACTGAAGGTCTTGGAGCATCTTTGGTGATGTTTGTTGACAGGGTGGAGATGGCTCTGTGTGGGGCAGAAACATGCCATATTCTATTTGACAGAATGAGACCCTTGTAGATTGCTAACTAAAGCAGCTCTGACTTAGGTCAAGAGCTTGTGAGTCCCAGCACTGCAGGTAACTGTACAACAAGAGGATTAGGTGAAGCTGTGCACATCCATGTTGCCTACAAACTCTGACACTACTATGGTGAATTCAGAGCTTTTGCCCCATGCCCAAGAAGGTATTTTCTTAAGGGTGTGAGTTGTTGTTGACATCCTCTTTGAGGGGAGGGGAGAAATAAAACTACTCTGCATTTTGTTCACAAAGGTTAGAGAGCACCAGGTGGCACTAAAGCAGCAAAGGAAGACTAGCCAGTTAAAATTTTATCTTTGTATCTTGGATTGCTAAAACTAACAAAAATGTGTTAAAGAACATGTGATAAAAGCTTTGACTCTTTCTGGTATAAGGTGTGGGAGTGCTTTAGTAGTAACCTTAAAGTAAAAAGTGCATTCTAAATTATTACACGTGCCCTCCCCCCGCCCCCCCCTTCCTATTAGTTTCATATTACCCTGTTAATATTTTTAAAAGCATCATTAGCAGCTGTTTAACCTTAGCAGGAGGACTCTCATACTTATTATCTGGTAACTATACTCCTATTCATTGTTTAATTATTGTGAAATGCAAAAATTGTAGGTAAGTTATTTCTGACTTTTTTTTTCACTCCCCTATTAGCCTCCCATTTTTTGAAATAAATCTGTTTAACATCAAGTCAGAATCTTAAGAGGGTATGTGTAAATCCCTTTCTGTTCTTTAAGATATCTGAGGGAAACACATTTCATTTTCAGACTTGTGCCTCATACTCAGTGGCACAGAGGGTTGAGACCTGTAGCCAGTAATTGTCTGAGACAGAGTCCAGAGGGTCTGGCCTCGAGAAGGTTACTTCCAATCTAACAGGTACAAAATAAACCAAGCAACCTTCCCAAACTTTATTCACCTGCCTGCTCTTAGCTGTGAAACTCAACTCTGATCATGACTGGAAAATGGAGTAGAAAATGCTGTGGAAAAGCCAAATACTGTTTGTGACCTGGAAAAGTTAGGGTTTAGACATTGCTAGACTTGTGGCCTCGGGACTGCGTTTGCAGCAGTTCCTGTTGGGTATGTGTGTGCAATACCTTCACGAGGGCTCTAATGTCTGTCATTGCAGTCGGTACTGGATGAGATGATGGTGGAACAAACTGACCTCGTTCGTTTGCGGATGGTCCGAATGTCCAATGTGCCCGACACCCTTTACATGGTAAACAATGCAGTGCCACAGTGCTGTCATATGATTACCCACCAGCAAGTTAGCACTAACCAGTCCAGTCCTCCTTCAGTTATAGCCAACGAGATCCCAGGTAAGCTGGTAAATCACTTGCAATGCTGATTGGTATCATGCGAGTGGATGGGGGCTTGGGGCAGGGGAGAGGGCAATGTGAAATGCTGAATATTATGATCTCCTTGGAGAGTACTACTGCACCATTTGGGCTTCGTCCCATCCAGTGGTAGTTCCTTTTGCTTTGGTCTACTCTGAAGACATTAACTATTTTTGGATGGCATAATAAGTAGTCAGAAATTAAGCTACTGGAGGGGGTAGTATTTTAACCTGCTTCAGCTGAGCAACTTGAAAAACATGGACTGGTTAAACTTACTGAAGAACACTTGCTGGAGCCTGGTGCTCCATTCTCAAGAGTGGTTCTTGGTTTTCTACTTACCTGTCTTGGATGACTGGTTGATCCAGAAGGCTGGGACATGGCAAAATACTGATTTATTTAAAAACAAAAAGCAGGAGAGCATAACTTGTAGGGCAGTCATCTTAACTCAGTTTGCCAGAAAAATGTTGGAAGTACAAAATTATTGTCACTCAAAACACACTTTTTTCCAGTTTACCAAATCCTCTTTAGCTTTGAAGTCAAACCAACTTCATTCCTTGTGTGGCAGAGTAAGCTTTTATAGATGGAAGTAGATAACGGCCTCTCTTGACTTGAGGATGCCTGGTGTGACATTCCCCATAGGCAAGCCAGGGAAATAAAGTCTCACACACACACAGAATCATTAAGGTTGGAGTCAAAACTACTGTAATATATTTTTGTCATTTATGCATTTGATCTTTTGATGTCAAACTGGAAGAATGTATCTGGTAGGGTTGCCAAAGCATCTAGCTCTTCCCACCTTTCCCTGGCCCCATGAGTACTCAGTGTGCACAGAGAATACACTGGCAAAATGTGCAGCTGATGACAAGCTGGGAGGGTCAGTGGTTTTTCTGGAGGGCAGAATTAAATAGCTAAATGACCAAGATTAAATTTAAAATTCAGTGAAGAAAGTGGGAAACATGGTGCTTATGGAGGTGTAGCCAGCTGTGTGCATACCAAATTGCTGAGAGAAGCTCTGTGGAGAAAAGCCTGCAAGTCAACATTATACAGTTCCATAAAGAGTCATACTAAAGCACAAAAAGAAACGTGCCACAAGCATGTGAAGTAATTTGGTCTCAGATGAGGCATTGTGTTTAGCCCTTTAAATGGCCATACTGGGTCAGGTCAAGGATTTGTCTGTCAAGTCTAGTATCCTTATTCCAGGAATCACCAGAAGTGAGTGCATAAGGAAAGTGTAGGAGAAAAAGCACATAATACCCTGTAAAATTCTGTGCACTCCTCAACCATTTGCAGATCAGAGATGTCCTGTGGTGGATGGTGTTCCTGTATAACTTTAAACGTATTTTTAATCCATGAGCTTATGCAGTCTTTCCTTAAACTTTGCATAAACTTTTGGCATTCATTTTTAGATCAAAGTATCACATTTCACTAGATATAAATCAGTTAGTGAGTCTGTAGAAAAGCAATAAAGATGATACGCCACCAAGAAAAGTCATCTTCCTCTCTCCACTGCTCCCTACTCTCCCTTTTATAAGCTCTTTGTGTATCAATTATGTCTTCCTTAAGTCAACTATGTTGAAAGGAGAAACATAAACTATTCTTACAGATGCTGGAGCCAGGACAAAAATAATAGGTTTAAATTGTTGCAAGAGAATTGAAGTTGAGGTGTTAGGAGGATCTGAAACGTGTTTGGTTAAACACTGCAATAAGTTTTCTAGTAAGGTTTGTGGAATGGTTTTGATCTATTCATTGTGATTCAGGAAGAGACTTGATAAAGCCTAAAAGGAGCTTCTGAAAACTTCTGCAATTTGATGGAAGTACTAATTGTTTGTTTAGAAACTTAACAGCTGTGACATCTCAGCAATGCATTGCAGTACTCAGACTTCCCCCCTCGCCCCCGCCCCCCCGAAAAGCATGAATATACTTACTATGAAGAGAATGTAAAGTATTTCATAAGATGTGGCTTTGATAACACTTTGCTTGATCTCAGTTTCCAAAGGAAGTTGAGAAAGAAAACAGATCCACCAAGGTCTCCGATACAAAAGTTCTTGTGTTCTGAAAAAAATCTGGCTCTGTTGGCAAACATGAGACATCTTGACCAATCTGAAACCCCACTACAGCTTGATTCTGTACAATTTAACAGATAGGAATTACTGCCAGCCCTTTGATTTGAGCATGGATAAGACCTGTGAGCCTGGCCGGGAGATGGAACACAGGCATTGTGTTCTGGTAACTGCCTGCTTTGCTTAGTTCTGTAATTATGCAAAAGAGTTGATTGTTTTGCGAGTGCCCTGTGCTAGGAAGGGTAGAGGGAGCCCAATTAGTTTGAGGAGATTCAGGCATGCACCAAACCTGTAACTTGTTCAGGAATCCATCCCAAAGTATAGATGGAGCATGGGAACTGCTGGGGGGAGAGCTAGGCAACATCACCTCTGTGTCCCTTAGGCCGGGCTCTTAGAACAGAGAGTCTTCAGAGCTTAGGTATTCTCCATCTGTCACTTGCATCTTCTCTGTACCCAGTGCCCATGGGCTATATTTGCATAAATGCTATTGGCAGCAGGTCTTGGTGCTCTTCTTGCAACACTGTTGTAAAATGAGTTCAACCTCTGCTGAAGTCTGTGCTACTTTGACGCTAGGTTCTGCAGGTAATTTGGTTTTCTTAGGTATTTTCCAGTTTCAGTTTGAATTAGAAATGCTACAGCTAACTTGAGAGAATTGTACTTTTTACCTGTGTGATCTCTCTTCCATGTGTTTCACATAAACAATAGTAAAAAACCAGAAACAAACCTAGGTTTGAGAAGGTAGCACTTTTTCATAAAAAACTTAAATGATTTTTATGCCTGCTAGTTTGGAGGACTGCTTCAAACTTCTCTAAAATACTCTTTTTAGCAAAATGCTGGTGGTAGCTAAACATCTGGCTGCTAAACCAGGATTTTTCAGAACAATTGAAGTGTGTGGAAAGTAATGTGGAAGACTTATTTCCAAGTCTTGAAAACTGGATAGAATTGATTTATTCCACACCCCATCCCCCCACACCCCCCCAGTACAGGAACTGAATTTGGGGGGAAAAAATACTTTTTGCTGCTTACACTTACCCTTCCCCTTCATGTACCAACGTAAACTTTGTGAAATTGGGACCAGTTGTAGTTGCATGGTGTTGGGTTTTCTCCTTCTCTGTAATGCAAATGTCTTTTCATGCTGTTCTTGCTGTCTGATGCGTTTAACTTTATGAGCTTTCATTAGGGACATCTGGTCATGGTAATATATAATGCTTGTAAAGCTGGTAAAGGATCAGATGCCAGGACTTACATATGCCAGGACTTACATATTCAGAGATCTGGATTTATCTTCTGTTATGATGTGCACATTTTCCTGAGGACAGAAAGACCACAGAGAAATATCATTCATCATCAAACAGCAGCAAGAAGTGGCATCAGAAAGTCTTGCATCAGGATAAATACCCCAAATTATACATTATTTCCTTTTGGAAAGGTTTTTTTTTTTTTGTAAATTATTTCAGTATGGCTGCATAAACCAACATAATTTTAACAGGTTTGTCTTGGCTTACAGTTTGTGTAATTTTTTTAGAATGCTCTTTCTGCAGTTACATACTGGTATTATGGTCTTGTGATTATAGAATTCCACTAGAAGTATGAAGTGTATGCCAAAAAAATCAGTGAATTCTTGGCCTGTAGAATTCATGAGGGAACATTCAGTTGTTATTTAAGATATCCTGCTCCCACCTCAAATCATAAAACTCCTGCATCATAAGGGGTTTACAAAGAAGGCTGTATTTGTGGCTTGCTTTAGCAGAAGGTGGAAAAATGGTATATGTCTTTACCAGTTGTATGATATGTGTGTTATCCGTTGTGCCTTAATGGTGCTTCAAGGAACATGTGTAAGTTGAACTGTTCTTAGCAGAATGCTTCTTAAAAAAAAAAAAAGCCAGCTCAGCCTGACATTAGATTTTTTTTTCCTTCAGAATTCAATCTAACCATTGCAATCAAACTTACTGTCTCACAGTTCAAAAAGGTAATCTCAATTATCCCCATTCTGTTCTCTATTACCCCTCCAGTTCCCAGTCTTCTTGTTGTAAAAGAGATGATCAAACGGCTGCAGGAGCTGCGTCATACTGAGCAGGTGCAAAGAGCGTACGCTCTCAATTGCGGAGAAGGCGCCACAGTCAGTTACGAGATTCAGATCCGTGTGCTGCGGGAATTTGGACTTTCTGATGCTGCTGCTGAACTTTTGCAGGTATGGAAAAATTGCTGTAGAAGACCACAAATGCTTTGATTTTATTCTGCTTATGAATTGACTTGTAACAGATTAACGGGTAATGTGCAATAAGAGAACTGCTTTGTGTGTGCACAGGCAGGTGCAAAACTGCTTTGAAATGCCTGTGTAACTTTAGACTGTCCAAGTGCAAATTACAATGAGACTACTGCATTTGATTTATGTGATTTTTATAAGTGTGTAAGTGTAGCGTATAAGTATTTTTCTCAAGAGTTGTTGCCGTTCGGGGTGCTCTTACTGCCACAGGTTTTTGGGGACAAAAAGATTTGCTGAAGAGGCAGTTGATGAGAATAGTCAAACCATAACCAGAAATCTAGATTATGATTTATTCTTGAATCAGGGAGGAGAAAAAGCCCTAACTGATGCAGTAGATCTGGATAGTACGTATCAGGACTGGGAAATTGGAAATCCTGCTTCTGTTTGTGTGGTGCTGTTAAAGCAAATGCATTTGTTGATCAACTTACTTGCACAATAAATCTGATGCTTCTTGTCTTGTTTTGAAAAAAACAGCAACTTTACTCCATGCTAGCAGTAATCACCTCTGAGTGTTGATGAGGTTTTAGGTGGCACAACTATCCCGTTACAGTACTAGCAGATTTCTAGTTCCAGTGTCTGTTAGTTTAGGAGATTTTTCTAGGTGACTTCCTACTTTGATTTGTTACATGCTGGGTTGTTTTCCTGTGCAGAATCCTCACAAATTTTTTCCTGATGAGCGATTTGGGGATGAAAGCCCACTCCTGACAATGAGACAGTCTGGACGATGTCGTGTTAACAGCACTCCCACTGCAGAAACCATGTTTACAGAACTGGACTCTTTTGTGGCCTTCCATCCACCATTGCCCCCTCCTCCGCCTCCATACCACCCACCAGCAACTCCTATTCACAACCAGTTCAAAGTGGGCTGGAAACAAAGGGTGCCAAGTCAACATCCCTCCCGTTCCTTTTCGTACCCATGTAACCACTCGCTATTCCACTCCCGAACCACTCCCAAAGCAGTGCCGCCTGTCTACTTGCCCGGCGTTAAAGCAGCACCTCCCGATTGCACTAACACTACAGGCCTGGGGAGGCAAACGGTGGCTGCAGCAGCGGCAGTTATGGCAGCTGAGAAGCAAGTAGTAAGTATTATGATTTCTTCTCTTCTCCCTATCTCTAGCCACTGAAGGATGCTTAGAGAGAGGAGCTTGAGAGAATCCTTATGATGAAGTAACTTGGCTTAGTTTACATAAAAGAGCATCTTCATTGGTTAGGAGAGGAATTTTCTACCAAACTGACTGTCAGCATCCTGCATCCTAAAGGCATGCCCTAATCCCTGGGGGAATTAATGTTCCAGGGGCAGGAGCATTTTGGAGGGGGAAGTGGAACTCGCAAATATTCTGAAATAATACCGTTCTCTCTACATTAAAACAAAGCGTAAGTCAGCTTCAGTAGTGGACTGCGTGCTATCATTCACAGGTAGAAATAGTGATGATATTTTGGCTATTCACAGATAAGTAGTCCTGAAGTTAAACAGATGTGTATAAAGGGAACCTGTGGAGAATGTGAAGCCTTACAGCCGTGAAAAAGATTTTAAAATGAATAGGCAAGCAGAAATTGGTAACTGCAAACTGGGTTTGTTACAGCATTTAAAGACAATCATTATAGTTGCTGAACTACAATATGATGCAGTGAAAACAACAAAATATAACATGCTGGACAAAGACATAGCTTTGAAGTACATAAAATGCTAAAGAAGGATTTTGGTAACTTATTTCTGCAATGAAAAAAACTGTTTTCGGCACACAGTTGCATCATACTGAAAACCTGCTCTTTAGGTGCAGATTTGATCTGGAGTTCTGAATGGGAACACGGGTTATTTTCTTTCCGTTAGCAATTGTCCTAAATATATTGTACTCCTTTCTATATTGTAACATAAAAAATTTGATTTCAAAGTAGAATTGTTTTTCATTGTTTGTTCAAGGATGGGTTTTGTAGCATAAGTCTCTCTTTCTCAATCAATACTGACTTCACTAAGGAAACCGTATAGTGATCTTTTTCACAGCTTTTTCACAATAGAAATGTCTCTACTAGAATGTTTCTATAAAAAAACGCAAGGAGAAGCATAGACTTAATATGGATGATGGTTTTGTTCTGTATTATTTCTGCAATTTGTGAGTTAATAGTAACGATTACTCAAACTGCTTTCATTAGAAATGATAAATACAAGTAGAAACCTTAACTCTTTGGTCTGGAAGACTGTGATATCTCGTCTCATTGCAGGATTGCTTATAGGTGTAGGCAAGGTGCCGTGCTACAGCTTCCATGGGCTTTGTGGATCCAGTCAGCACTGTAACTGATGCTCTCCCCCAGCCCTGATGCTGTTGTGCATACGCACACGTGTAGCTGCAATTAACTTTAAAATATGAAACGCAAGCAGAAGAGTTGCATCTATAGTGATGAAATATATGCTTCATGACTTCCCTGTACTGGAACTCTGTGCTGTAACAAACCATTTGTTGAGTTCTGCACCAAGGACCTTGTTTAGTTTGATAATTGCAAGTGGCTTAAAACAGGTTTACATTTTGAGAGTTTACCAGTACATTGTCATTTACTGCATATTCGAGGCAAGATGCATTTAAGAAGGAGCTATTATTGTGGCACAACAGCTTCATGAAGGAAAGAAGTTGTCTTGAGCTAGCAGGACAGGGAAGGCTGGAGGATTTGTGTGCTCTTTAAACAGTGTAGGAAAGTTGCAGGCTGGGGAAAATGCCGTTTTGAATTACAGAAACTATACTAAGTACAGTTTTTGTTTAGCTTTTGCTTTTGTTTCCATAGACCAATTTCTTTTCTCTTCCAGTGTACTCAGCCCTTGCTAAATGAACTGATGCCAGATATTGCAATGGGTGTGTCAGCAATGTCTTTAAAAGACAGAAGATTGCCGGAGCTCACTGTCGACACAGAATTAAGCCAGACAGTTACAGAGGTAGGGCCTGGTCTACCCCAGCACATTTCATGTATTCAGAACAGACACATGCCTACTTCTCGGAAGAAACATGCAATAGAGCAAAAAATCGATGCTCGAGAAAATCAGCAGGAGTACCCTGACTTCTATGACTTCTCCAATGCTGCATGCCGACCTTCCACTCCAGCACCCAGCAGGCACAGTCCTTCGCCTTCGCAAGGCATATATTTTGGCCCGGATTTGTATAGCCACAATAAGGCATCACCAAGTGGCTTAAAGTCAGCCTATCTACCTGCCCCCATATCTCCTAAAAAGCAAGAGGATTCTAGGAGGGAATACCTGCTCTCCCAAGATGGGCATCAACACAGGCAAAAGAATGAGCCAATACACCTCGATGTCTTAGAACAACCCCCCCAGCGACTGGACTTGGCATTGGCTACCCAGGAAAATGCTGGTAATGGCCCGGTTCACATCAGGGGAAGAACGAAAATGGAAACCGATTTAACCTACGGGCTGACCTCCAACAGACCTTCCCTCTCAGCATACACCTCTGAAATGCAAGAAGAGAGACTCGGTCGGAGGCTGGCAGATGATGAGCCGCTGGAACAGGGAGCACAGAGAAATGCGGATTTGGAAAGGGAAGATGCAGCAAGCAGAGGAAGGAGGTCTCCAAACAAACCAGACTTCCTCTATAAAAAATCTGCCCTCTGAAAGCAACCTCCACTGTTTCTCTGTGCCTAAGAGTTGTAAACATCCCATTCTTTGCAACTTCTGGCCTGACTTCTGTCAGACAAATTCATTTATGCCAGCAGATAAACTCAGCTTCGCTCACTTCTTTTGTACATACGTTGCTTTATTAGAGACAGCATGTTATCAGTTTTGTTTTTAATGCTGCTTCTGGTTTTATTTTGTGGGAATTTTTTTTGAAGCAAATTTAATTAAGCCTTTTAAAAAAAACAAAAGCTGGTACCTTTTTTCTACAACCTGGTAGCCTTTTGCACCTGTACATCTACTTTAGTGTATTAGTTTTGTACTAATATGTTGAACTTTATTGTCACATTTAAGGGACTGTATTTTCATACTTTTGCATTTTTCCCTTTCGCCTGCCAATCCCCTATGTGCATTGGGTTGCACATTATGAAATGTATTTTCTTATGAGATAGTAACAATACGTTTATTTTCTAATTATAGGAATTCCAAAGAACAGCACATCAAAATACTACTTTTTTAGTTAGATTTTTTGTTTGTTTGTTTAGATCTGAAATCTTCCTGATTTTTACAACTATGGCAAGAATCCAGTCTAATGTTTTGTTTGAAAAGTTCTGGCAGCTGGTCTTCTATAGCAAGCCCACTTCAAGAATTCCATTTGGGTTTTTAAGAGTCCGGGTGATACTTAGGAGTCCAAATTCCAGTGAAATTCACTGGGATCTGACAGTCTGATTCTGTTTGCTTTCTGGTTCAGTGGTGACCATGGAGAACTCCGCAATCACCCAGAAGCACTTTCTACACAGACTAGAATGGTTTGTTTGCCCATGCAGAAATAAATCTAGAAATACTGTAGAAATGATAGTAATAACTTGTTCTTCCAGCTACCCATACGTGGGGGTAAGCGAAGACCGTAGTTGAGGATGTGTGCTAAGTCCTGGAGTGTCAGGAAGACAAGGCATAGTATTTTTGTCTTTGCCTGAACGGCAACCCTTGAGAGGGTTCCCCCTCCAGCAGAGGTGCTGAGGTGATTGCTCATTGCCTTGCTTTCTCCTGCCTATGATTAAAAAAGGGCTTCACTCTTAGTGACGTCATTCAGTGTTCCTTACCTGACCTGAAGTGTTGCTGACTTCATTAGTGCAGTTGCTCTGTGAACAAGATCAAAGTGAAGAGTAACTGCTTTAGTGCCATGAAATGGGGGAAGCTTTAGTACTCTTAAATTACACTTCCTTTTCCCAACTTTGCTTTTTTTAAAGCACAGAAGTGAGATTCATCTATTAACATGATAGGAAGAGGGAACGATAGTGATCTGGGCTGGCTCCCTGCCACTGGGTTGGGGCTGAGCAGTGTACCGGGTGGCTGAAATGGTTATAGTTAAGTGCATCCTTAATGCTTACTGTGCAGTTTTTACCCCAGGATCACTGACTGCATCTAGGATAGGGACCTGATGCCACTGCAGTGTCGTGATTACCGGTAAAGGCCTCTCTGGGTTTTTTAAATGCAGTTTCTATAATGAAGAATTTCCCTGTAGTGGAAGACTTTAATCCCAAGTGTGACCTAATGACTACTTTAGGTTGAGTTGTTTCCCACAGTTCAAAATGCATAATACTATTTAAACAGAAACCTTGTTGCAAATTTACTTTTTGTTTTAGTTGATGGTAGATTCTTAGTTCAGTGAAACAGGTTAGGTATGCGAGGCCTGACAACAGCAACACAATTTTATTGAAATATATAGAATCCTGCATTTCTAGACTACAAAACAGCTTCCAGATAAATGAAGATACGGGTGTTTGAACCAGTAAATCCTGGTATCTCCTGCGTACGCATCTGTAGGCCTCCTGCTTCTGTGAAAGCTTTGCAGACGCTTCTCCTGAGGCGCAGCCACGGAAGGCATGGCATAGGATTGGAGGAGAAATGTGGCTACACTGTGCAGATGATGTCTTGTGGGTGAGGGGAGGTGGGTTGGTTGTGGGTTTTTTTGTTGTTTTTTTTTTTTTCTCTTTTAGCCTTTTTGATCTGTTTTTTGACCACAGTCATAGTGGTCCTGGCCTCATCACCAATATGTATGACTTCCATGGGACTGCAGTGTAGAACCTTGGTAAATGCAAGAAGGTGGCAGTGGGGGGGATGGTGCTGCTGCAGGTTAGGGGCTGAGGTTCATCAGGCTTCTTCTGAAGATTTGGGCACAGCGCTGTCTGGCTGCGTAGCTCTAACCGGACACTTGGGTCTCATGCTCACCAGCACTAGAAGCGTTAACTTTCATCACACACACAACCCCTGAAACGCCCTGCACTCGCATCGTAGGTATGTTGGTAGCTTAATCACTAAAAAATCATTGCTGTCCTCAAAAGACTTACTATTTGGAATAAGTTATTTTTACGTAAAATTGGTAGATGTACTTTGAGATCAAACTGTTTTAGTTACCACAGTTTGATGTGGCGCTATGTGCCTGGACAGAAGTGGGGCTGAAATCTGCAGATGTAACTTCTAAGCTTGAAATTTGTGGGGATGTGGCTGACGAAGACTGGGAGGTTTTGAGGTTACGGCGTGAGGGAAATCATGAAATGCTTTGGCTTTGGAATAAGCTGGTGAAAAATGCCTTCGGGGGGGGATGGCATGTCTGCATTTTAGAATACAAAATTGCTTCTGAAGTCTCAGAAGCTGAGCAGTATTAAAAAAGAGAATAAAGTGTTTAAAAGTAGGTGCAAAATCAAAGACAAGTCCTTCTGAGGCCACAAAGACAATCAGGCCATGTAGACAATCTGCATTTTTGCTTGTGTATTTTGAATTGGGAAGAAGGTAGCAGCTAAGGGCAGCTGGTTTGAAGTGGAAAAGAAGGATTTGTCAAATTACTGGAACTGCATTTTTTTTGTACTGTAGTGTAGGATTTCCTGCTTAGTTGGATGTGCAGAGAGAGGGGAGAGAGACCATCTTTATTCTTCATGGAAGCATTATTCAGAAGCTAGTGTTCATGCCACATCTCGCTCGCAGAACACACATACCTGTGCTGCCTGCTACTCCTTGTTCTCCGTCTACTAAAACTTTGGTGCAGAAGCTCATTGTTTACATGAAGCACTTTCTGATTAGGCTGGAAATTAACATCTTTTCCTCCTGTAGGTGGGATGGAGATAACAGATTACTGACTGTATTTTGCTTGAGGTGAGAGGTATGAACATGAAAGTTTCTTGCATGAGGAAAACTTTTGCTCCTTGCTCAGTTAAGGAGAGCTCACACTTTCATTTAGTGAGCAACATGCAAAAACTTCTTATTCCCTTTTCCCTGGCCGCCTCCTCTTTTCCTTAATATATGGATGAATAACTTAATTCCTGAAACAGATTCTTCCTTTAAAATGTTTTGTTGTTCCATGGAGTTACTGTAGCTGTGTGTTAACTGCGGTGTTGACTAGCAGTTTCTTGTTGTATTTTTCCTGTTCTTGAGGAGTTTCATTTCTGAAAGTTACTGCTGTGACCACCCGTACTTGTAAGCTTTGGGTTTTGGTCCTGGAATGTCCCAAGTGTTTGTCTTATCGGTTTCTTTGGCTTGGGTTTGGTGGGGCTTTTGGTTTGGTTTTTTTGTTGGTGGTGGTTTGTTTTGGGGTTGTTTTGTTTTTTTTTTTTTTGAAAGAATACTGCTGTTTGAGGCACTGTTCTTTCTTCTAATAATTCTATGCTTCTATGGCAGAGGTGGTGCTGAGCCCTGCCAAACGCAGGGCATAGCTGAGCGAGCTGTAGAGACGTTGTTTGGGGTTTCTGTAGTTCTCTGTGCTGCTGGGAGGTAGCCCTGCCTTTGGCAGCATTCCGGTTTTGTTTCCTGTCCTTGTGTCGTTACTGGTATAAAGTCAAGTGCCTTCTATGCTAAAGGCTCAGAAAACTTTCTTAAACTGACTTCATGTCCTATGCAAGTGTTTTTTCTACAACCTGCATAACCAGTACTTTGTAAAACTTGTTTACGCTTCAATTGTACATAGTGTTTTTTTAAAAAAAAAATAGTATTTTTATTTAGGTACCTCCAAACTTGAATTCTAGTCTTGTGTGATGCATTGTAAAACAACACATTTCTCTTTTGAGTACCATTACAGTTGTAAAAAGGTTTTCACTGGTTCTATTTTTCTACTGTTGCTGAGAAGCATGTAACACTGACTTGATCCTACGTATAGTTGGCATTTCAAATAAATGGCTTGTATAGAACATGCTTGTGCAACTTCTTCTGCTTCACTGTTACCAGCAGGCTGCCGAATGGGCTCTGCCGTCGCTCTTCCAGGTTGTCCGCCTGGCTAATGGCCAGGGAGAGGAGGGGTCTAACACAGGCCGTAAGGTGCCCTCTAACAGTAAAGGTTCTTAAAACTGACAAGGTTTGTTGTTCCTTCTTCGGGAAAAAAGTGCAGAATAATGCATTGAACATCAAGGATATGACACAAACCAGTGTAAAAAGAGGCATTCAAAATTAGTGGCTCTGCTCAAGCAGCTTATTAGAAAGGAAGAGCACTTCAGTGAAGTAGTTTGGTGAGGAGTTCTGGCTAGAGCTTGACTGACTGAGACCATGCAAGGCAGAGGATTACCCGTAGCTGAGGCGGGGAGATTCAGCCTTTGCTCTGGGAAGTGTTTATGTTCTCAGGAGGGCAGCTAGACAAAGACGCTCATTATGTACCCAGCGTGCTCCTCCTGAGTTGCAGTTACCTGCAGCAGCTGCATGTTTGTTACCCTCCTGCAAAGAGGTGGCCCGGGTGTGTTAGGGCATCATCCAGCAGCAGAAAACCTTGACTCGTCTCACTTGGATGCACAACAGCAGAACAGCGTGTCATGCGCTGATGTGAGGCGGCCAGGAGAGACTTCTGTCTGGTCTTCAGTGTTAATTACTGACACCTTCATTCCCACATCTGGGAAGATGCATTTCAGGAGCAACTGCCTAAACTAGACAAATGCAACATTTCTTGTTACAGACCGCTTCTAAGTCTGCTAGCTTCACGGAAGAGAGGATGCTCTTCACCGAGCTGTTGCAGGGAAGTTGGAAAGGGGGATGGTTAGAGGGAATGTTTAAGGGCTGGGCCCACAGCTCCCTGCAACAGAGAGGGGATGGTGTATGGTATCGATGCTGACCCTGTGGTGAGCAGCTGCAGCAACTCCTGGAAATTGCATGCTCAGTTCAAACAACTCACTGCAGTGGAATTCCTCCCTCTGTGCAGGGCTGCTGGAGCACAGCGAGTGATGGGGCTGCACCTTGCCCCAGCACTAACTTGCACCCTGGCAGTGGCTGCAGCTGTTTTGTACCTGGGGCAGGACAGCCCAACAGGAAAGCTGGGGTTTCAGCGCAGCAGGGTTTGAGCTCAGCCCTGGAGCCCAGGACACCTCCTGTGAATGAATGCCAGGCACTGCGCTAGGGAGGAAGTGTCACCCTGCTCGGCCTGCTCCCCTGCTCGCAGGGGTGCATGCAAGCAGGATGCTAGCCCTTGTCTCACACCTGCCTGCAGCAGCGTGGGTCACGGTGCAGGCAAAGGTCTTGGCCCCCAAGATGTCGCTGCCCTGGGCCACAAACTGCTCCAGCAGCACTTCCAAAAAAACAAGACAGTACAGATTGAAGAGTTCTTTAATTTTTAGCTATTTTAGTTAGATATGCAGTTACAACTCCTGTTAACAGCTGCTACAAAAAAAAAAGCACATATACTACCCAGGGTTAAATTTAAAAGCAAGTGGTCATTTCGCATGAAATGAACCAATGAATGGAGCCTCTATGCTAGAAGTAGCTTTTGTAAATAAAGTAGGATGACAGTGAGGATGGCAGATAAAGGTCTGCTGCACGGAAGCGGAATAGTACCTCCGGTAAGGAAATCCCCTGACTACATAAAGCAGGAGTTAAAAATTAGAACTTTCTTAAGGTGTGTTTTGGGGTTTGTGGGTAAAGAAAACTAAAAACTACATTAGGCTCCAAGCTTAGAAAAAGTCAGTATTTCATCATAGCTAAGTGTAGATTCTTAAAAGTCACTGAAACATCTCCTGTTCCATGATTATCACAGTGATTATAAAAAGATCACACGCTTTATACTGTAGGAAAATGCCAGGGTGCTGCAGTTTTCTCAGGAACATTTATGCAGTAGAATAATTTGCAGTAGGCTAGTTCTTAAAATCAAAGCGCAGTAGAAGTCCTATAATAACCCTCCCGTGTTTAATTTGTAATTTGGTACCTTCTCTCCTACAAATAATGTTTGTATTCTAGTGAGTGGATCAAGTTCATGTGACAAATTTTTGCATGTAAAACATCACCGTACAGTATCAGAAACAAAGTTTTTCAATGTATAAAACCAGACAGAACATCCTGCTGCGTCAAGCCCAACCCATGATTTCTCATTTTTCACCTGCCTAGGGAGCACTTCCGCAGCTGCAGTACTGTGTTCTTAGCTCACTCGCTGTCACCTCAGGGTGAGAATGCAATTTCACCCAGCAGCTGCGACGCACCCTCCAGTATCTATGCCTCCCTCTGTGTGGCCACAGGGCCTTACTTCACGGGAACCGCTGTGTGCTGCCGCAGAGCCCTTAGGGCAGGAAAGCAAGGCGCCCCAGCCTTGTGAAGCAGGCAGAGTGCATCCTGCCTGTGCCGTACAGCAGGGAGGGCGGGCAGAGCCCACGCCGGTTTAGTACAGCGTACGGCTACAGGCACTAACCGTAAATCAGGTGAGAGGCTGCAGGGAATCAAAGTGGCACACTGTTCTTTTACCAAGCCACCCTCTCCCTTGAGGCAAGGCCAGCTTTCGCAGGAACGCAAAGTCGATCAGTACTGCAGTCCCTATAAATGCAATGTTCCTGTTAAGAACACATTTTAGTTGCTACAAATAAAAGAAGTATGAGACAAAATGGAGACCTTTCTTGGACAGTTGGATTTTGATGAGAAGCCAAATACTGAAGATGCCTCTTCTGTTTGTCAGTGAGTACTGTTTTGTTTTCCCAGTTCTCTCAGTCTAACTACAGTAGTACTGCATCCTGTTAGTCCGTCGTCTTTTCCGTGACTGAAATTCTTCAAAGAAGTGCTGAATGTCTTCTCTTTTAACCACCTGGGGGAAGCAATACGAAACCCAAGTTGTGGCACAACACAACAATTAAATGATCCTTTTTTTTTTTTTCCCTTGCATGCACCCCACAAAGCACAGAACAGCAAGTATCCTGAACCCTCTCCAATACAGCTAGCAGAACAGCTTTCCTGTTGTACCCAAAAGAGATGACTGATGCCCAAATTCTGTTATGAGAGAATAAAAAACAGAGAAACGAGCTCCTGGTGGTATTTTTAATGGGTTTGACCACTCGCTTTTGTCATCAGAAAAAGGAACACAAAGCAAGATTTTCACTAGCTGGCTTCAGACTCATTACAATGTAACTAAGAATGGCAATTTAGCCAAAAAGCCAACAAAATGCATGTGTTGCTTAATAATAGCATGCAAATTCCTCCAGGAAAACAACTGATGAGACTGGTTGCCAATATTTACTCAGTCTTTATTCTTCTACGGGTTTAAATTCAATCTAAGAAAAAACATAAAAGCTAAGAGCTGCTTTTCCTGACTATTTTTCCTCAGAGCAACAGAAGTTTAATTTAAATTTAACAAGTGCTCTCAGTACTTCATAGACAGATTTCTGTAAGGTCCTTGTTATCTCTGAACAATGTCATTGAGGAAAGGCAACTCAGAAATTCCATTGGAATTGCAAATTTCTACTGTGGTACCAGCAAATCCAAGAGACAGGAAAAAAATATTGTAACATAGCATCATCGCATTCAGCACCCACCCCTCAACAGGATTTTAAAACACATTTTCTGGCAAGCAAATTCGGCGAGTTTTGCCTTACCGTTCCCTCATCTGCAAATCTCCTGAGATAGTCAGTCAGTTCTGTCTTTAAATCATTGTATTCTGTATGGAGAAGCGAAGGCAAGGGAAAGAAAACAAAAAAAAAACCAAGAAGATACCCAGCTTTATTTTAACGCTGGCTCAAGAAGACAACTTGTTCTACTTACTCTTGTCATTCGTTATCTTTACTTGAGACAAATCTAGGTTTGAACTGGATTATAAGTAACAGTAAGAAAGGTAAGTCCAAGTAAACATGAGAAGACTGGTAATTTATCAGACTAGCCTCTGCAGTCTGAGTATCTGTTCAGGTGATCTTCAGAGAAACATATACAAGTTCAGTCAGCGAATTAGTACAATTAATTAAAAGACTGCCCTGCCCCCCAGCCTCCCCCTACAGCAGCACACGGGGTAGTGGTAGGAAGTCATAGCCTGTAACTTAGGATTGGGCAAGTGTCCTCACCGGAGTGCACAGCCCTCGCTCAGAAGAGGGAAATGCAGCTCCAGTTACAAAATAATCAAGGCTGCCTTGCCAATGTGCTCTGCAGCAGAGCTGCCAGGGAGCACCCCACAGCCCAGCTCCGCACCCGCTGGCACTCCCCCAGGTAATAGGAGATTGCCAAACAACTGAACAGGCCAAGACAAATAATCCAGACAGCAGAAGCATAAATTAATGTTTAAATCTTCACATTACAATTACTTACTTATCAATACAGTAACGAAGGTGTTAAAATAAGGGAGAAGTTCCCACACAATCTAGTTCCTTGACATAAGTTAAAGTTTGTAATAATGGGCCAGAGAGGACAAACTGCTCCAAAGTAAGTACAAGCTTCTACATGTTACTTCAAAAATAGTTTGATACCACACCACAAGACCTGATACTCATCTCTTAGGGGAAACTGTTAAGGTGTTAAGGCAGATTCTGAAAATGAAGTTGTATTTACCACAGATGAGTTCCACTTGCTGGACTCTGTTCATGCTGTTAAGGGTGTCCATTAAAGGATCTCTCCTCTCTGTCTCTTGGTCACTGGTACCTTTATTTTCATAAGCCAAGACAGTGTCGCATTCATCTGTCAGGAACTGGACTTCAAGCTCCGAATACATTTTCTGGAGAATAAAGCAAATTTTACTTTTACATGACAAAACTTCTCATATGGAGGTGGTCTCTCCCAATCCTTTTTGTGTTCAGAATCACAAATAACAATAATAAAAATAATAATAATGTAAACTTTGTATCCAGCATTTCAGACATCTCCCCGTAATGACTTCCAAAGCAATACTAGATTCAAGCAGCAAAGAAAATACAAATGTTTAGCAGCTCCTTCGTGATGTGTTAATTCCAAAGGATTCACTGTGTTTCTTTATGTGAGGTGGAGCGGTTTTTAGGTGTTTATATGCAGAGTAACAACATTTACGCAGATTTTACCCACAAGCTTCTCCTCAAAGATTCTCTGGGAGCTCCTCTCTGTCTCCCCCATGTCAATGATGGTGATGAAGAGAGAATACATACCAAACAGTCTTCACAGGTGCATAATTTGCTTCTCCAGTTCGACGGCCAAAAGGTGGCAGTATCTTTTTTTAAAAATTCCTTGCTTTGGAGTTCTTTCAGTTTGCAGACTGGCTCCTCACTCTTAGTAACCACCTGAATTAAAATGAGAGTGTTCTGTAACGTCACTTCAAATATGCACTGTTCTTTCCAGCATGTCATTTTTCCTTACACAAGACTTTTCTTTTGTCGCAGACATATTTATTTTTATAAACAACTTATACTATCATTTCATCCACATGAGGATTCTGACGTGGATTTAGCAGCTTCCACTGGCCATTTCTGTAGAAATTTACTGCAATAATCATAAATGGTTAAGAAATCAGAGCTGGACTATCGTGCAAATGCAGCTACAATGCACAATACCCCTGTATTAGAACAAACTCAGAAGTTACCTCAGTGCCAAGGCCGGGTGGCTGACAAGAAGGGATGGATCTAACCTATCTGCAAACAGACGCTACACCCTTATCACCCACTTCTAAAATCAGGTTCCACAGCCTTCGCTGTGCTCCACAGAGACCGCATGTTTGAAGTGTCAGTGACTGAAGAATCACATGGAAACAGACTTAAAGCATTTACCTCTTCACTGAACCTCTGCAGAGAGAGGTGGGCTTTAGTTCACCTATCATCAGTATGAAGATGTATAGGAGAGAAAACAAGGTCCATTTTACCTCTGGACAAGCAGATCCAGAGCTAGTAGACGGTTCATTAAACTGCTCCATCTGCTTTTCCTCCTTCGTTTCCTGGTGTTCCATTCCACTTTCTTTTTTTATCTCTTTTTTTTGCTCTTCACTTTCCTCAACCTTCAGGATAATCCCTTCATCTTCAAGGGAGCTCACTTTGGTCAAAGCAGGAACTGGAAGATACATACCCACGTAAGGGAAAATACCGTGCCAGACAATGTACAGGCTACCACCGATGTCCTCTCTGCTTTACAGTGCAGCATCAAAGAGAATGATATCACCTTGTACACTGCAGGGTCCTGGGTGTATCTTACAGCTGTCCAAAGACACAGTGCCCGAGGTATACCAAGAAACCGCGCTCTCTTTCACCGTAGTGTTCTTCACCTCTCATACACCTATTCTAAAATATTCTGCTTCCCAAAATCTAAGCCCTAGGAAAGGGAAAGGGTATCACCATTTCAGATAGTTCTGTACTAAGATGCTTGTCCTTCTTGGCACCCCTTGATAGCTACGGCAGGTTCAGTAGCTGTTGCGTACGATTTTGACTTTGTATCAGAGTTCTTCATTCCCTCCAGACACACACACCAAAAACTCCATGACATTAACTACACTCACACCTTCCTTATTTAAACCAAGTTCTTCTCTCTTGATGTCAGCTCAAGTTCTAACCCCCCTGTGACACACGGGGCTAGAAGGAAGAAAACCAAAAACAAACAAAAAAACCCCATTCTGTACTGTATTTACATTAGAAGGAAGAGAACTCCAGGTAGGCCAGCTTGCAATCCTTAAAATTACCACTGAAATTTCTGTCACGTAAGAGATCAATCACCAGTTGTACAAGCAACATTTAGCAGACTATGTGAAATCAGCTCTTTCCCCAGAAAACAAGTCATGTACCCTTCTGATCCCACAGAGACCACATAGCAGACAGAGGCCTGCTGTGACTGCAGGGAATGTGTGTCCTGAACACAGCCCCAGCTCTACTCAGATTAAGGTTTTACACATTCATTTCAGGTCACTCTATCATTCACTCTGTGCTGCTCAGAGCCTCAGCTGTTTGCCTCACTGTTTCCTGTAGTTCAGTTTTTTTTTTCAGGAACTCAGAGAGTTCCTGCTCTTCAGTTTTTTGATCCAGTTTAGAAATTAAGTTACTTGAGGCAAGTATTAAGTCTTCATCCATCTATGTGCTAGCACGTCTTTGACAAAATAAATGAGTGAGCACCACAGAATTAAGATTTAGGAACAAGAACTGCATTTTTTTTTTTTCACAGAACAGTTACTGTAGCCCTGCATGTTCCACTGCTGAAGGCAATTGTCCAATACAATGAATATCATTTCTCCAACCACTTAAACAGTCATTAACCAACCCAGTATGAGAAATACATGCTAACAAAAATACTGGCTCAGATCCCTCAATTTTGTTTACCTGCTAATTGCGACGCATAGGCCCACAGGAAATGGCAGTGATTCATGCAGGCTTGGCATACCATTTCATGGAAGTCTCCGCTTTCAGGGGGTACTGCACCAAGATGCTGTCAAAAAGAAACAATCACGCAGCAGTGAAATGTTTGCTGCAAATTAACAGACTCAATTCTAAGTTTAAAGGAAGTAAAATATCAACTGCCATCGTATTTTCAGCACAAGCATACACTCCAGCTACCTTTCTGCAATCATGATCAGTATAACTTAAGGACTGGAAAGAACTGATCAGAATTCCAGAGAAAAACTGAAATAATCCTCTCTTGTCTACAGCTTTTTATGCCTTCTACATACCCAGAAATCTCAGTCCTATCTTTATCTAATTTCTAATCATTGTTCTTCTAAACATAGGACAGGTGAAGATACCCATTGCACACTGCACCTTTAAACTCTTAAATAACTTATGATTACTTCCTTAAGTATAAGAGATTGTAAGTCTTCATACTGAACTTGAGAAGAATTGGGTCTCAAAGCTCTCCATGAACTGGTCAGAACTATTTAGGCAATGAATAGCACCTATTGGCTTTCTTTTGAAAAGCGTTCTTCCAGAGCTCACAGTATGCAGCAAAACATTCTTAATACATACATTCATACAAAAGAATCCTATAGTTTATCCACAGAGCCCATAATTGAAGCCAATTATCTTTTTTTTAATTCTCTGATCCTCCAACTTCAAACATGGAATTTTACTCATGCCCTTCAAGGCACAAGAGGCTGAATCCTTAATGCTCACACAGTAAGTAGGGCACTCACTGAAGTGCTGAGCTGCTTTTAAAAGATTTCCCCAATGTTCATAATCAGGAACCAACTACGCAGTTTGTTTCTTCCTATTTAAAATAATTACAATTTAAAAAGCATTCTTTTGAATCAAGAACTATTCAGGTAGTTGATAATGATGTGCCTCAGTAAGAATTTTCCTGTTAAAGGAACATTTATAAAATTATTTTATTCTGCAGCAGTAACATTCAAAAAGGTAGAACTCTTCCTAGGCTTTTTGGACTGGAGTGGACAGCAGCGCAAGATTAAACTTTGCATAGGATGAAAAGTCATAGTCCAAGGGGGATCAAAAGAGACTTCAGGGCCTTGGGACAGTTGGTAAGGGAATCTGGGGCACAGGTTACTGTTACCTCCCTCCTTCCAGTTGTGGGCAGTGACATAGGGAGGAACAGATGGGCACAGTCTATTTATTAATGCATTGCTTGGTGACTGGTGCCACCGCCACAATTTCATCTTTTTTTGATAATGGTATGGCCTACACGGCACCTGGCTTGCTGTCATGCGATGAGATTCGCCTTTCTCAAAGTGGGAAGAGGGTCTTTGCTCACAAGCTAGCAGGGCTCATTGACAGGGCTTTAAATTAGACTCAAAGGGAGAGGGGGATAATATCAGGCTCACCCATGACAAGCTGTGGGATGACACATCAAGGTGAGACAGGGTGCTAGTCAGGGACAGGGTGCTAGCGAGGCCCCTCAGCCTGTTGCACCAGAAAAAGACCTCAAAAGAACTAAAGGAGATTCCTCTAAGAGGGTGACATGGTCGACAGCCCAGCTGAAGTGCCTCTCCACCAACGCATACAGCATGGGCAACGAACAGGAGGAGTTGGAAGCCATGACGCTGCTAGAAAACTACAACCTGGTTGCCATTACTGAAACTTGATGGGATGAATCCCGTGACTGGAGTGCAGCTATCGATGGCTACAGGCTATTCAGCGTTGGTCTCTATGTCAAGAAATGGATAGAGTGCGAAGAGCTGTCTCAATAGCCATGAGCAGGCTGAAAGGTTATGGGTAAGAATCGGAGACTGCTGCAACAAAGGGAACCTCGTGGGTGGTGTCTACTACAGGCCGCCCAATCAAGGG